TTAAATGGAAAAAGATTGAACCACTAACGAATATTGTCAAATTTTGAACCTATGGCTAAGACTACACAAACCATAATTGCAAGATTATGATGAATAGATTTGGTTAAGAACCTTAATACTTAGTAAACACATAATAACATTAAAAGACTGGCAAATTGAAGAGGAAGCATAGCATAAATCCTTATCCAGGTCCAAAAATTTATAAGAGCAAAGACAACACAAAAAGATAGTCATAATCATAGTAATCTTGCCAACAACAAGCAAAACGAAAAGCTAAGTTTTTACTCTCTCTGGGATAACTCAACAACCAGTTTAAGCTGATGAAGCCGCTGCCTTGTTCCTTGGCTTCGCTTCGGTACCTAAGCAAGAAAAATGTGCAACAGTTTAATTATCAACCCCATATCTTAAGAGATACAATCTGGTGAACTAAAACTGAAGAAAACTTGGCAGAAGTTGAGTTAATATGATTCAGTACCTTCTCTGAAACCGGTCTTGAACCTGCGAGGCACATTGCGGAGATACCTCATCCTTCCAGTTCCAGTAGTCTTCCTACGGATTGCCTTCACACTCCAGTTGTCTAACAAAATGAACACACACATACATCAGAACAATACACATTGCATATATGGCAAGATTTTAACATTAAAACATAACACCATTAAATCAATAGAAGAAACAGAGAAGCTTTACAAGATATGCAACTACTAGAAATGAAGTTAAGAGAAATCAAGTTTCCAAACTCGAGAGTAATTGAAAGAACCACATTTGTGAATTAAAAGCAAAATCAGATTTCAAGATTCGAAATCAAATACAAAGTTAGGATTATAACAGTAGAAGAAAGAAACAGACAAATCTCGCAAGAAGAAACATAATGCAATTATAGCAATAGAAGACACAAACATGCTTCAAAAGACGTTCAATTCCTAGAAATGAAGTAAAAAAAGAAGCAAACTTTCATGAAGTAAAAGTGAAAAGTCAGATGCTTTTACAAATGATCCACAAGCATAACCAAAACCCTAAAGCAATACAGAATCAAACATGCTTTACCAAAACCCTAATCGAAAAACCCCTAATTTCAACTGAGAAATCAATGAAATTAGCAAAAGTAAACATATCATAGAACCATATGAAAAAGGTAACATAAACTAATTCCACAGAAGAACGATCCATTTCTTACACGACTCAAACACATCTATACAGAGAGATCAAGCGACATAAGAAGAAAATTGAGAGAGAAGAGATTGAGAGAAGTGATGATACGTACAACTCCTCTTGCGAGCAGCAGGGTAAGCACAAGCAGAGCAACGGCTCTTCTGGATATGGAAACTGCGACGACCACATCTCACACAGAGTGTGTGACTCTTGTTCCTCCTCTTACCGAAACTTCCCGTTCCCTTTGTCTGAAATCCTCAAAAAACAAAACAACATCAGTGATTTGAAATCATCAACAAGAACATAGACTATGAATCCAAAGGAGGAAGATTGA